CAATATGTATAGTATTAAAGCAATCAGACTTTTTATAACTTTTTAACAAAAATATTCATTAAAATTACATAATTGAAGAACAAAATCATCACAAAATGAACAAACTTGAGAGAAGTCTACCTGTAGTACCCATGAAGTATATATAATATCAAAGCAATTAGACTTACGGTTTTTAACCACTTTTTAATATCACTTTTTACCAAAAAGTACCAAAATATTCATGAAAATTAGAGAATTAAAGATATCATCACAAAATGAACAAACCTGATAGAGAACCACATGTAGTACCTAGATATGCAGTATCAAAGCAATTGGACCTGCTGTTTTTAACAAGAAGTCGAAAATATCACTTTTTACCAAAAATTACAAAAATATTCATGAAAATTAGAGAATTAAAGATATCATCACGAAATAAACAAATCTGAGAGAGGTCCACACGTAGTACCTATATATGTAATATCCAAGCAATCAGACTTGCGGTTTTTACCAAGAAGTCAAAAATATCACTTTTTACCAAAAATGACAAAAATATTCATCAAAATTAGAGAATTAAAGATATCCTCACAAAATGCACAAATCTGAGAGAGGTCCACCCAAGGTACCTACATACCAAGTATCAAAGCATTCAGGCTAGCGGTTTTCAAGTAGAGGTCGAAAATAGCATTTTTGACCAAAAATGACAAAAATATTCGCTATAAATAAGACAATTGAACATATCCACACGAAATGAACAAATCTGAGAAAGAAGCACCCAAGGTACCTTCCTAGAAAGTTTCACAGCTATACAGTTTGTGGTTTTTAAGAAAATGTAAAGTTGATGACGGCGACAGCGACGATGGACGCCGGACGCCAACGGACAATCAGTAATACTAATACTTCGTCGACAGCGGAGCTAAAAAAAGTGTGCCACAGACGCAATAGGAAGGATAAATCCACTAGATACGTTCACTAACGATTGTGACTTTGGGGAACCTTGGTTAATGTCAGCAGGTGCTTGTATTTGACTGGGCCTGGTTGATGCCAGGATAGTGCATTAAAACACCAAAAAGTCATTACGATAGGAAGATGGTCACACAGCCCTGTCATATGGTACCAAACTACATTATGGTGAACATTTGCAATTTGCACATGAAAAAGTCCAGAACTGTCTTCTGGCACCGCTCTACTCAGGAAAACCGATTCCGTAAAAACAGTATTTTGTTAAAGTACAAAAATACAAGCAGTTATTTTTATTTTCAGAAGTTTTCAGAATTCCTGGAAATCTGAGAAATTGATACAAAATCAAAATAAAATGACATCAGCCTGCAGATGTTAAGCACCAATATAATGAGATAATGAGATAATATGCAAATTAGCCACTTAATATGTATGAGCATGAACCTAAAACTATCCGGACAGAACTCATTGCTTCACACACACAGGATCTAATATATTACTTTAAATGTGTAACATGCCAGATCGGAAAACTTCCAAAATTAAGTACAAATGAATTACAAATTATAGATTAAATCACAAGTGAGACTCAAGTAATTTATCAAGATAATTTGGTCAAGTTCACGTTACGCACACAGTGCAGGACTCAATTTTGAACTTTCTCAGATACTGTGGTACCTGTATCACAAAAATTTTACACTTACAGGAGTTGTCTTGCCTTTCTTTTTCATTTTCCTTGCTGCAATTTTATCAGCTAAACTCATCCCCATCTTCTCTTTCTCCTGCTGTAATTTCTTCTCCAAATCTTCCATATCTTTCTTATGATCTGCCATAATTCGTTCATACTCTTCAGGAGAGAGCTGTGATCTTCTCTTCTTCATGTCTTCATCAAACTCACTGCGATACTGTGCAATATCTTTTTGTAATAGCCTCAGTTGTTCTTCACTCAAAACCTCTTTGTTTTTCTGAGAAGATATTTGACACATTTTATAGCAATATTAAGTCACCTTTAACCAAATTCAGTCATAATGTAAATATTACATATACCAAGGGGTCTGCCCACCCCCGGCAATACTGCATATAATTCCTTATAAGAATGTTCCCAAATAGTTTCAGAATTCACTCATAGTCAGTGTTGATAAAAAATGCAGGTCACAATTACAATACTTGTCTATTAAACTCAGTGCCCAGGGGACTCAGGGTGCTCTAAAAATTATGTGTTTTAGGGGTGGACGTTTAGTCATGTACCCCTCGGAAAAGTGTGCAAACAACAATTTTAGTTCACTATGTGCCAGATATTGAAGGGGAATATTGGCTTTGGGAAAATAAAATTGTGAAATTAGTCACATCATCATTGATTTCCACAACTATATTACAATAAAGAAGAAACAGAAATGATGACAAAAATTATGCAGATTTTATTACAATATTAATTAATTATGTACTCCCAGAATTCATGTTAAAATCATCATAATTGATTGTACACAAACTCTTGATGCAAAGAAAATTATGCCATGATGTTTTCTTGCATGACTTGAACGGCTACTATGTCCTTTGAACTTTGAATAGGTAGAGTTTGTTATTCTAATCAGAATAATGTGTTGTATTGACACAATTCTCTGAGAATTGTTGTAATTTCACACAAATGTGTATCGATTTGACATATACGACCCATATGATGTCATAATGACTACTGCCATCAGTGGTAGAAACAATTCTTCCCATAATGCAACAGACTAACATACAAAATCAGACAAATCAACAAATCCCACCATGTGAAAATGAAAATATCCGAATTGTAAATAATCAGCCACACTCATGATACTCACTTAGTGGTGCTAGATGTGTAAACACAAACTATTCAAGATGAAGACCTTATAATTGCATCGTATACAGAATAAACCGACTGACATACAAGACAAATGGCAAGCGTAAAACACTGACACCACTCAAACAGTACATAAACTTACCAATGCTGCTAAAAGTTTTGCTCTCTCCTCCTCCTCTGTCAATTTCATCCCCCTTTTCTTCTTTCTGTTAGCTAACTTCTCCAACAGTGCCAACCTCTGTCGGTCTTTTCCTCTGTCCAATTTCCGCCTCAGTCTCTCCATCTCCTCTTCATGTTCCGCTAACAATTTTTCATACTCTTCTTTAGATATCTTGTTTCTTTTTTTTTTCATTTCTTCCTCAAATTGAGTCTTTGCTCTCGCCATCTGCATTTCTATTTCACTTACTTCAGATTTTGTTGCAGCCACTTCATCCGCTAGTTGATTCTGATGGTGAAAGGGTTAAAAAGATTCAACAAATCAAATAATATTTACATGCGTATTATCACACAGGGAACACTCTTATTCATTCCTTTCATTTTCCAATGCAAATGTTATTGTACATTTCATTAATGCATACTATGAAATCAATTACCCTGTTTTTAAATGCTGCTTATGGTCATTGACTGAGAGTCTGAGAGTAAATAAACATAAAGTTGATAGTTTGTGAAGAGAGAATACTTATCACAATTGGAATGTAAGTGTGGAATATTCATGCAGCCATTTCATTGGTAACAAACATGCATCTCTCAAAACAGAAAAGGATGTGTCAGCAACATTTGTATCTCTTTGTAATTTTATCATTGCATTCATTATTTAAAATGTAATCAGTCAGAAACAAAATATTTTGTTTTATGAGTAGCTTACACATTAATGTAAATTGCAGGTCTATTTAAATTTTAATGATCCAGTATACAGTAAAAACAATTTAGGGTTTATGTGTTCTTGGTGTTGGAGATGCATTTCTAATATAGTAAGTACAGTAACTGTAATCATTATTTAACATGTCATCTGCTGAGAGCCTTCACAGAAAGCCTTCACAGAAATCTATCACAGAAAGCCTTTACATAAAACCTTCACAGAAAGCCTTCACAGAAAGCCTTCACAGAAAGCCTTCACAGAAACCCTTCACAGAAAGCCTTCACAGAAAGCCTTCACAGAAAGCCTTCACAGAAAGCCTTCACAGAAAGCCTTCACAGAAAGCCTTTACAGAAAGACTTCACAGAAAGCCTTCACAGAAAGCCTTCACAGAAAGCCTTCACAGAAAGCCTTCACAGAAAACCTTCACAGAAAGCCTTCACAGAAAGCCTTCACAGAAAGCCTTCACACAAAGCCTTCACAGAGAGCCTTCACAGAGAGCCTTCACAGAAAGCCTTCACAGAAAGCCTTCACACAAAGCCTTCACACAAAGCCTTCACAGAAAGCCTTCACAGAAAGCCTTCACAGAAAGCCTTCACAAAAAGCCTACACACAAAGCCTTCACAGAGAGCCTTCACACAGAGCCTTCACACAAAGCCTTCACACAAAGCCTTCACACAAAGCCTTCACACAAAGCCTTCACACAAAGCCTTCACACAAAGCCTTCACACAAAGCCTTCAGGGAGAGCCTTCACGGAAAGCCTTCACATAAAGCCTTCACACAAAGCCTTCACACAAAGCCTTCACACAAAGCCTTCACACAAAGCCTTCACACAAAGCCTTCACACAAAGCCTTCACACAAAGCCTTCACACAAAGCCTTCACAGAAAGCCTTCACAGAAAGCCTTCACAGAAGGCCTTTACAAAAAGTCGACACAGAAAGCTGACAAAGAAAGCCAACACGGAAAGCCGAAATGAATGGAAAAAAAACTGTGTCAGCAGAAAATATGTTAACAGTTACAAGTAGGCAGTATCTAAATTCTTCTCACCAGCCATTGAATGTTCCACAAAATTTTCAAAAGAGTTCACATGTGTGTAAAATAACAAAATCAATGAAACCTTGCAGTGAGTAACATTTCTGGGCTACTCCTTGCAAAAAAGGATGTCTGTGATCTTTATACCACACACTGAGGACAACAGGTCCCCATATATTAAACTATCAAACTCCATAATATAATACTACATATTTGGTGGTCTAGTCAGATATTGCAGTAAGTTCTGCAGATATCCTATATAGCTTCTCATTAAACAAACCCACATTTTAATATAAAAAAATGAGCGTTCTCACATCCAGCATTTTCTCCTGTTCTTCTTTGGTTTGCCAAGCCCCACTTTTTTTAGAGCCCAACTTGTTTTGCACTGCCTGTTGCTGTCTGGCTTTCTCTTCTTGAAGCTTGTTAACCAAACGCTGTATATCACTGTTATGTTCTTTCTGTAACCTATTATTAATAATAATTTTAATAATTATGCATACCGTAATGCATAAACAACAATTATTAAACATTATATCTTTATGCCAATATTAAGACTGTAAACAATAGTGGCTACTATGGATCAATAAGAAGTAATTATTTCACCTTGGCCAATTTTCAAAAATATTTTTGGTATATTTGAGAAATTCATAGACATAGCATAGACAGACTGCAGTAGGTGTACAGACAGAGGGTACATAGACAGACTGCAGTAGGTGTACAGACAGAGGGTGCATAGACAGACTGCAGTAGGTGTACAGACAGACAGGTACATAGACAGACTGCAGTAGGTGTACAGACAGACTGGTGCATGATCAGACTGCAGTAGGTGTACAAACAGATGGGCACATGATCAGACTGCAGTAGGTGTACAGACAGATGGGCACATGGACAGACTGCAGTAGGTGTACAGACAGATGGGTATATGGACAGACTGCAGTAGGTGTACAGACAGATGGGCACATGGACAGACTGCAGTAGGTGTACGGACAGATGGGCACATGGACAGACTGCAGTAGGTGTACAGACAGATTGGTGCATGATCAGACTGCAGTAGGTGTACAGACAGACTGGTGCATGATCAGACTGCAGTAGGTGTACAGACAGATGGGCACATGATCAGACTGCATTAGGTGTACAGACATACAGACACATAGACAGACTGCAGTCGGTGTACAGACAGACAGACACATAGACAGACTGCAGTCGGTGTACAGACAGACGGGCACATGGTCAGACTGCAGTAGGTGTACAGACATACAGACACATAGGCAGACTGCACATAGGCAGACATATCATCAACTTTTTCACTACTATTGTCAATTTCCACTGTGTTCATCTGTGCATTTTAATTAGTAGATTTGCATATCATTCACCCTTTCACTACCATTGTCAACTTTTGTAAACTTCCTCAAAATAGTTCTTTTCAACTGCATAAATGGTTTACATAAACGGTTCCGATCACAACATTTTCTACCAAAATCTACACACATGTCATACATTTGGTGTGAAAATATTTGTCAGTGAAAAGGTTTTAGTTATGTTGAACAAACCTTTGATATTCTTCATCAGATATCTCTCCATTTCTTCTCCTTAGTTCTACATCTCTAGCAAATTTCCCATTTTTCTTGTCAATTTCTTTCTGAATTTTTTTCAGTTTGTTCTCTTCACCCATTTCCACATCTGAATCATCGCTGACATAAACTGATGCATCCGTGACAACGTCTTGCTGCAGACAAAGATGAAAATGCATCAGTTCCTATATTTCTGGCTGGCAACAAAATCAACTGATTCAGACTGAATGTCATGCATGAAAATATGCATCAGGAATGTTATATCTCATTGATTTTAACAAATTTGTATTCTTTCAATGTTGTTAATAATATTTATTTTCAATTAAGAGGGTAACTGAATAATATTAAATACACACAATTTTGTGAAAAATTATTCTTACATTCCAATAATTTACATAAAATTCAAGGGCTAGACAAAGACCGTGGAACTCTACTCAAAAACCAGTCATTAGATAGACCATGCTAAACTAAACTAGTTATATAACCTCTACAACCAGAACAGCAATTACAGTACATTACATCAGGACTTGGCTGGATTCAGTTCTAAAATATTATTTTATTTTCTTAATAAACTAGTGCTAGTATGGAAATTCACCGTAAGTGTCACACTGCACCACCAGTGCACCTACAATGGTGTTTGAAAACACTGTACTGTATTAGAACAGTATTTACATGTTATGCACCAATTCCAATTTTTGTTTGATGTTTCAACATCATTTCACCGGATACACAAAAACTTGGTCTTGTAAAATAAACCCACATAACTATTTGATATGAAGCATGTAGCCAACGACAAGTTATGTGCATTGTCTGCAAAGTAACAACAAAATTATACAAAAATACACATGAAATTGAGTAAAATATTGCACAAGAATTTCATGGAAAAAATTATAGCTTCAACAAAAAAGTTTAAATCATTGAGCGTATACACAAGTCATACCTGTAATTTAACTTTCTCTGCTTTCCTAGCTCTTCTTTTCTTTCGCTCCTCTAGTTTAGCAGCAAGTGCTTGTTTCTGACGCTCACCCGCTATCTCTAGATCTTTGGTCATTTCTATCATATGCTGCTTATGCTCAGCAATTATCAGTTGGTACTCGTGTTCAGACAGTTGATGTTTCTTCAGTTGTAGTTCACGTTCAAATTCAGAATTTTTTTTAGCGATTTCATCTTCAATCTCCTTCTTTTTGTTTTCGTCCATCTCAGATTCCTACAATTGAGAATCAAAATGGTCAGGAGAAACAACAATTACATTCAATATCTATAATTTACAAATTGCGTACTACGTCACCAGTGTGTGTTCAAAACATAAAAACTCACTGGTAAATTGTCATTTATAATGAACAATTAGTTGTCCATGGTAACCAATAAAAAAAAATAAAACTTTCAACCTCAAAAGCATGCATGTTGAATGGGAATTAATTAATAAATACATGATATGAACACAAAAATATGACAAATATGTTAAGATTTGGGAAACAGAACATTGCTCATAGTGGTGGGGTCAATAAACTAATGGTATTTCATGCATTACCCTCAAAGATCACACATCCTGGTACTTAATGCATGACCCCTAAAGGTCACATATCCTGGTACTTAATACATGACCCCCTAAAGGTCACACATCCTGGTATTTCATGCATTACCCTCAATGATCACACATCCTGGTATTTCATGCATGACCCCTAAAGGTCACACATCCTGGTACTTTGTGCATGACCCCTAAAGGTCACATATCCTGGTACTTAATGCATGACCCCTAAAGGTCACACATACTGGTACTTCATACATGACCCCTAAAAGTCACACATCCTGGTACTTTATGCATGACCTCTAAAGGTCACATATCCTGGTACTTATATAATGCATGACCCCCTAAATGTCACACATCCTGGTACTTTATGCATGACCCCTAAAGGTCACACATCCTGGTACTTATATAATGCATGACCCCCTAAAGTCACACATCCTGGTACTTCATGCATGACCCTTAAAGGTCACACATCCTGGTACTTCATGCATGACCCCTAAAGGTCACATATCCTGGTACATATATAATGCATGACCCCCTAAAGGTCACACATCCTGGTACTTCATGCATGACCCCCTAAAGTCACACATCCTGGTACTTCATGCATGACCCTTAAAGGTTACACATCCTGGTACTTCATGCATGACCCCTAACGGTTGCACACCCTGGTACCTCACACATGACCCCTAAAGATCACACATCCTGGTACTTCATACATGACCCATAAAGGTCACACATCCTGGTACTTCATGCATGACCCTTAAAAATCACATATCCTGGTACTTCATGCATGACCCCTAAAGGTCACACATCCTGGTACTTAATACATGAACCCTAAAGGTTACACATCCTGGTACTCCATGCATGACCCCCTAAAGGTCACACATCCTGGTACTTCATGCATGACACATCCTAGTAATTCTCTGGGGGATTGCAATATAACAGCAATAATTTTTAATATTATTTTTTTTCTATGTTAAATAGATTTTAAACTTCAATGCATTTTTATAGGAAATATAATTCAGAAATTTGCAATGACAATGAATTTGTCTCTCCCAGAATGTACAAGGATAAATGACCTTTGGTAGCAGAATGTGTCAAGCAGAAACCAACAAGTGATATTTGTAATACCGATATATTAAATTGTTCAACTGTGAATCCGGTAGGCATATTTAACACACTGTCACTAGAGAACTGTGCATGCAGTGTAATTTAATCTTTGAAGATGTTTCAACATAAACATCATTTGGTTTTATGTGTCTAGTCACACAT